CCAGCGAGCCAGCACGCCAGCCAGCCAGCCAGCCAGCCAGCCAGCCAGCCAGCCAGCCAGCCAGCCAGGCAGGCAGGCAGGCAGGCAGGCAGGCAGTCAGGCAGGCAGGCAGGCTGGCAGCCAGCCAGCCAGCCAGCCAGCCAGCCAGCCAGCCAGCAAGCAAGCAAGCAAGCAAGCACTCACTCTCACACGCCACTCGCCCTCTCGCCCACGCTTTGAAGTGTGCACGCCTGCACGCCCGCGCTTGCCCGCCCCTCTAGAATTTTGATCATATTTAATGCGTTTCGCCCGTCTCCTTCAAGTTGGCCATTCAAAATGCCCTGCTGTAGATTACTGCACCACTTGTAGCTTGTTTCGGCCAATCAATGCTCTTGCCAAGTCTTGTGTTGCCGCGAGGATTGCAGGATTTGTCGTACTTCAAGTGCATTACGCATTAGCAGCTCTCAAGCCCTGATCTCAGAGTTGCTCAACCAATTGTTGTCGAAGCTTCTCTGCAGGCTCGGGCCACTGTTTGTTGATTTACTGATTTCGCTTGCTTGACATGACAATGGGGAATACAGGGGGCATTGCTGTTTGTGTATTGCTAGCGCGATCCTCCTGGATTACACGTGTAGCTTCATTTTGACTTACGATAGCAACTTGATCCTGATTGAGACTCAAAAGCACGACAAGAACATTCCACAGTTGTACAGAGGCATGTGGGGTTTGGGGAGCCCTTTCAGACGAGGGGCCTTTTTGCAGGTCTCAGGGCAGTTTGACAAATTGGCTGGAGCCTGCCAACAGCGGACTTGACTACTGAGTTGGTGTTTGCGTGTCCTTCCTAGGCTTAACACATCTTCATACAGTCCATCAGTTCGTTTTCGACTCTCTGGGTGGCTTGGACAGCAGTTCCTTGACGTTACGGCAGAGGCCACGTTGGCTTCTGAGGCTCCCATCAAATGCATCGGAGCAGTTGGACTGCCATCTACTTCAGCCTGGTGCTGCCTGCTGACTTTCCACTTCAATGACATGTACTGCAGTCAAGTTTGGCCGCTTTTGTTCATGTTTTGTTTGCAGGGCACCCTTTTTGGATGGCTTTAGAGGGCAACCAAAAGCACAATCAATCTTTTTAATCCCCGAACACCCATGTACGATGATTGAACATGACGGCCCTTCCGCAGAATTCCTGGGAGCATCTCTGTGGTCAGACAGTCCAGCACTCGGGAAGGTGAAAGTATTGGGTGCGCAACGCGCACACAAGGAGGACAATACGGAGTTGGGTTTGCACAGGTGCAGACTGCGAGGTTGCAGTGTTTGCAGTCGCAACCTCAATAGATTGCAGATTCTGTGCTGGCTACGCTTGCGGAGCTTGTGATGCAATGTGTTGCACCCACTCAGGACTCCTCTTGCTCGCAGCTGATCGAGTCAAGTTCAAGCTCCTACGAGGGCATCACAGACAGGATTTTTTCTTCACATGGTGGTGCTTGGTCAAGGGCTGCATGGCAATGCCAGGTGATGAGTTGAAGCGCCACTTGCTGCTAGCTTGGGCCTTTGCTCCAACTGATTTGATGTGCACAACAAGGCCAAATAGTGCAACGAGTTAGGACTCATGCGCTATCCAACAATCCAGTTTGACATGCTTGCCCGGGGAGTTGTTTGGGATGATCTTTGTCAATAGTTTCTATTGACCATCTCCTATGCCCTGTATTCCGAGACGCAAGACTGGTCTTGCAGGCTTCTCTTTAGGTTGAACAGGCCAGATTACACCTTGTGAGTTCTTGTAACAAACACGCAACCCGATTTGTCATTTCACCGAGCGGCATGGGTCGCAAGGCTGAACCCTTTGACATTTGGGTTCCTGGACACAGGCCCGCGACAGGGAGCACCTCTTGTGTTTGCCTTTCGTCAGTTTCGTGGCCATTTTCCTGTTCGTCCAGCACAGACTTCCGAGGGAATTCAGATTAGTGGAATTCCCATGGCTGCCATGGGCTGTCGAAGCAGCATGCCTTGCATGAGTTCCATGCGCAACGTGCTTGAGGAATGGCCCTTCCTATATCGCAGGTCAAGCGCATTTTGGCAACGAAGAGCTCCGCTGCTCTGCAGAAAATCAGCGAAGGCTTGGACGTGAAATTCGACGAGAACTTCGAGAAGCAATTTCTGCGATGTATGCTGTGCGCGCGTCTTCAAATCTCTGCCTTCCACCAGAATGCTGCCGCCTCTTCATGTGCTCGTAGGCAACAATGGCAGGCTGCTTTGGCACTTCTCGGAATGAAAGTCAGGTGCCCGAACAGCAGCGCAGCAGTGAATGCATTCAAGACGGGTGGACAATGGCGATCGGCGTTGGCGCTGCTGAACTCATTGTCTGCAAATAGGGCTGAAGCTGATTTGACCCTTGGAACGTTTCAGCGCTTTCTGCGGGAGACCCACACAAACAGATTTCGGGTTACATCAATGGTGGTGGAATACGATTTTCTTCTAGGTTTTAAGCGTTCACATGAGTAGCCAACACAAACAGTGAATGACTGCGGGTATCAGCGGCTGGTGACTTAGCACAGAACCGCAGTTGCCAAGTTTACCGTTGCCTGCCCCATGGTCCTACACTTACGAACTCTGCGCCCTTGAATTCTGGCGTAGGGAACCCGCCGAAAACCGATCGGGGGCCCACTTTTGGCATCTTCTCACATGACAATTATGTGTGTAGCATCCTAGAACCTGGAACTTATCAAACTTATTAAGGGTTACCCACTATCTGCTTGCAAGGCTTCCATTTCGGCCCCTACCACAAGTTCGGTCCGAATGCTCGCTAGCCACATGTGAGGAGTGGCTGCAATGCGGCTGCCAGCGCCTTGGAACAGTCCTCTTGGCAGCAGGTGCTTTCCTTCGTCGAGAACCTTCCCCCCGCAGAGATGTGTGGCTCGCAGAACACCGGGACTCACCACAGTACCCACATGTTTTTTTTCTTCGCAGGTGACGGCGTATTTTGACCGTGGCTGCCAACACTTCACGTTTACAGAAGCTCACCGTATCGGATGTGAATGTCCTGAAACCATGATTTGGCTGTGGGTCAAAACCAATGGTACCATTTTGGGGTAGGTGCACCACCCATTTTAGAACCTGTTTTAGTGGGGATTGGGATGTTCACTCGGGGTACGATTTGGATTTTGACCCATGGCCATGTTTCTCACTACTGACTCTTTGCTGCATGACTTCTGGCGCTGAGGTGCTCACTCCGTGCTGCGTACCTGCGACTGGAGCTTGGCTGTCGACTTTTGCACTCGGCTTGGTGGCGGTGGGCACATTGATTCCATTGGCGCCTAGGCCTATCTTCATTTCTTTTTCTGGTCAGACATTTCAGACTTCACAGCTTAGATATTATAGTGTGCTTGTTCTTGTTCGATGCGGTCGGGCTTCACAGCTTTGCACATTTTAAGCTTGAACATGTGAAGCAGAGGCTACAATGCTGCATTGGCTACCTTTTCCCAGAAACGCCAGTGGCAGAGAGCTCTCATCCTGCTGAAGGACATTTGCCGGGCGACTGTGAGGCCTGAAATCCTGTCAACCTTGGTGGTGTTCCTTTTTCCGGATGCGTAGCAAAGGGTTCCCGTTTGTAAGTGGGGGCCCGGAGGTGGAGGCCGTACTCGCGACGTGATTTTCTAGAGTTGAAGCGTGCGTTTTGTATGACTTGCAACATGTTGGCTAAATCAGGGGGGTTTGCCCGGACCGGAAGAACCTTGGCACGCGTATTGCAAGTCATCGAGTGATCGAGTGGTTTCACTTGGGCCGTAACCACCATCCCCGCCCCCCATCTTCTGTGTGTTGCAGACCATTGACCTTTAGGCAATCAGTCTGTATCGCATATACATGTTGGCTTCGTTTTCTACCATAGAGTTCAGACTCGCCATAGAAAAAGACCTCGCTGCGCTCGCTCTCAGCACATACTCATACACTGTATTCTTCAGGGGTTTCCGGACTGTCAACCATCAGGTCATCAGGTTCTCGTTGAGAAACAGATCCAGGGTGATAACCCCACCACCCCCCATCCCACCCCACCCCACCCCACCCCACCCCACCCCACCCCACCCCACCCCACCCCACCCCACCCCACCCCACCCCACCCCACCCCACCCCACCCCACCCCACCCCACCCCACCCCACCCCACCCCACCCCACCCCAAAGAGCGGTCACCTCTCATCTCATGAACACTATCATCCCCACACCACCCCCCCCCCCCCCCCCCCCCCCCCCCCCCCCCCCCCCCCCCCCCCCCCCCCCCCCCCCCCCCCCCCCCCCCCCCCCCCCCCCCCCCCCCCCCCACCCCCACCCACCCCCCCCCCCCCCCCCCCCCCCCCCCCCCCCCCCCCCCCCCCCCCCCCCCCCCCCCCCCCCCCCCCCCCCCCCCCCCCCCCCCCCCCCCCCAACCCCCACCCCCCCCCCCCCCCCCCCCCCCCCCCCCCCCCCCCCCCCCCCCCCCCCCCCCCCCCCCCCCCCCCCCCCCCCCCCCCCCCCCCCCCCCCCCAAGATGGTTGCCTGTTCTGTTTTCTTTTTCACATTTCAACGCGTGAACCACCTTATCCGTTTTTAAAAGGCTGATTTTGGGGGCATGAAATAACGATATGGATGTGGTAACGAATTGATGATTTGGTCCCCTGTCTCGTTCCAGATTTCAACTTTTAGTTTTATTGATTGAAAGAGGATAGGACTTTCTGTGGATTCATGGGTTGGCTTTTGGGCGGTTGTTGTGGTTATCCTTCGACACCGCCCACGCTTCGTCTTCACCGACTTCCTCTTCGGATAGTGCGCCAGTCGGGTATGCGGGGTTGTCTGGTTGTTGCATATGTTTTGAAACAAGAGCTTCAGAGGTTGACATCGTCTAGCTGTCAGTCTTGCTTGACACATAGTTTCGATAGTTGAACTTGATGAACACAATTGCGATTGACGCTTTTTTTTCTCGAATGGCTACGATTAGCGTGCCATCCCATTTGAGCATTACAGTGTAGAAGCCTTCTTTCCATTTCGCGAGATGGCTCCCAAGAAGCAGGGTGGATATGATGACAAGAAAGACAAGACGGATACGAAGGTTAAGGACACCAAGAAAGAGCAGGACAAAGAGTCAGAGCCGGTACAACACCCAGAGGCAAGGTCTTCGAACGAGTCAATGTTTGCCCCAGCCAATGTGAACAACAACATTGAGGAACTCACGAGCGAGTTCAACAAGTTGAGTTTGGCTGAGCAGTTGGTGGTTGCCAAGAGTTTCGAGAGCTTCAACGAGCAGTTCAAGAAACGCAAGAGTGCCATCAAGAGCGTCAAGCAAATCCAGCAAAAGATTGAAAACTCCAACAAGAAGAAAGACCCCAAAGAAAAGGAGCTCAGCGAGCGCTACAAGAAGACGCCGTTGATGGTGAGGGTCTGGTTTGAAGGGCAAGTGTATGAGATTGAGATCTTCCTGAGCGACCGTTTGGGTACTCTCAGACAGTTGCTTTGTCGCAAGCTTGGACTAAAGAAAGACCAGAAGATGGGCTTCCAGATGGACGGACAGCCCCTTTTGAAAAAGGATGACCAAGAGCCCAGCAACACGACATTCCTCTACACGCTGAACAACATCCAGAACGGTGCTGAGCTCACGCTTTCGTTGATTGAGAGCCCGCACGGTGTCAACGACGACAACGGCGACAACGACGACAACGATGAGGTCATTGGCTCGGACGATGTCAATAACCAGTCGGGGAGCTCTGATGATGACACTGAACAGTAGGTCATCTGAGTAGCTCACTTTTGCACAGAGTTGCACTGTTTGGGAAAGTCATATGCTCATACATCATCAACTTACAGCTGTGTTTCCCTTTGTGCATCTTTGAGATGTCAAGGACGTTGACAGTTCGTCATTACCCTTGGATTGAGGCTCGTGTTCAAAAGACCGCTTCAATTAGTATGTCCAGCATTTGCTTTCAAGCATTGATTGCTCTGTCCATCATTGAATTGATGCATTCTTGTTGTTGTGAGACGGCTTGAATAGCTGACTTGAGGATAGCTTTGACAGCCATGGCACTGATGGCTCTACAGAAGAATGTGCGATTGAGCTTGAAATTCGTTTCTTCTCAAGAGGTGTCAATGATGAACTTTGATGGTGACATTCCCCGAGAGCACCCGACAGCAGACATGTTGCGAGACCTCCCCCGCTCTGTGCTCTTGGAGACCGTGCTGAAGGTTAACCCCTCCATCAAAGGCACCAACAAGATGAACAAGGTTGAATTAGCCAACATTGTCACAGTGAACTGGCGGATTATCACCGAGCAGTATGCCAAAGAAGCAGGGCTTCTATCCATCTATGATGACCAAGATGACACTTCACCGGAAGCCCCTCTTCGCCCAGTCCTACCTGTGCCACAACTCTTGTTTGCTACACAGTGCAACCGCTGCGCGTTCTCACATCAACTCTATCTGGGAAACCCGCGTGACCCCTTAACCATTGAGGTTGTCATCCCCTTTGAGAATGAGATGATCAAGGTCTTCTACAAATATGACACTACTTCAACAGGGACCGAGTTGCTCAGGGCTTTGAACGCTTGGTTTGTGGCTGACCTGACCCCCGACACTTGCCTGTTGAAGGTTGGCGACTCCTTGATTTACTCCTATGAGACCATCCACGCCTATGTGTTTGACAAATATCCTTCATTGTCTTTGCTCCCTAAGTTGAGAGGAGGCACCCTTCAACGATGGAAGAAGCCCTTGAACAAGGCGGAGGCTTTGAAGCAAATGGTCGACAAGAGCAAGGACACGATCATCAGGAAGATTGACACAACCTTGGTTATGGACATTCAGGAAGCTCCACCCGTCTCCTTTGCTCAGGTCATTGCCCAGATTGACAACAAGGTCGCTGACTTCCGTGAGAAGATGATGACAGGTGAGCTAACAATGGAGCGGGTTGTGAACCAACTCACTGACGAACAGATTGATGTGCTTGAGCGAGTCTTTGCCTTCAAGACCAGTGAGAAGACAGAGCAGAAGGTGATTGATGCTGTGAACATCATCTACAAGGATGCCACAGCGATTGACGATGTGCTACCTCACCTGAAGCGAGCGAAGATGGGTATCATATCTTTTTTCTTGGAGTTTTACTCACGAGAGTTTCATCGGGAGCGTGGCACAGACTTTCAATTCAACAACTGTGCATTTTTGCGATTGCTTGAAAGCACCAAGAGCTATCGCAGAGGTATTAGGTCATCGACTGGAGCAAATGCTGATGTCGCTAGTTTGCCTGCTGACCCGAGCCAAGGCTCATGCGTGATGTCCTGATTGACAGCGTCAATGCTTGAACACTAAGAACCACACCCTCAATTGGGAAAATCCCCCATACACAATGGGGAAAATCCCCCTTACACAATGGGGAAAATCCCCCATACACAATGGGGAAAATCCCCCCCTCACTTGAATGGGAACAATCGCCACTCACTGAAAATGACGCAGTTTGTAATCTCAGGGCATTGCAGGTCAAACATACCATATACCAAGGACTATCGCTGAGAAAGTGAAAAGGGTGTCGGTTTCTGAGTGGCTGGCTCACATTCTGATGTAGGGATTGAAGTAGTTCCATTATTGTCTCGACAGGTATTGTGCTCTACCACAACTTCCACGACTACACCAAGTTCCACCTGAACGACAACTTCCACGCTGTGAACTTCTAGGTTTGATCGGTTTTGTGGAGGGTGAGGGACTTTGTACTTACAGTTTTTTTTTGTCTACCCCTAAACCAATCAACAAGGGAAACTATCGCCAATTTTCTGTTTCAATGTTTGTCCCCAAACCCAATTTTCAAGGTTTCTTCCCTCTCGACCCTTCATCTCCACTTTCTGAAAAACCCAACAAAACAAGGGCATAATCCGCCATTTCCCAAATCATCCAAACCCAAAAAATCACAAAATCCATTTCAAGTTCATCACCAACGACCCCAATTTCAAGTTTGAAGCCCAACCCCAAACCCAACCACCACATCCATCCTGCTTGTCAGAAGGTTCGTCTTTATAGTCATCACTGGCGGAGGGGGCAAGGGATGGGTTTTCCCTTTTTTATTTAAAGGCTTCGCCTTAACCGCTTCGCTGGTGATGCTGGTTGCTGATGATGCTGGTTGATGGTGACGCTGGTTGCTTGTAATGCTTAATCCCACTAAATAATTCTAATAATTTCATATTATTAGAATTACTTAGATATTGATGTTACTTTATGCTATAATGTCCATACGGGATTGAATTGAAAGCATCAATATAAAACCTTTTGTTCTCATAATTACTGAGAGATTGCTTGACTTGAGACATTGAATATATTTGATGTGTTTTGCTCCTGATGAAGTTGTAGGAGATTTCATGTTTTTTGTTGTGATGCAGTGCTTCATGATAGTTCTGATATGTTAATTCCTTTTTAACCTTGTGCTTGACGACACCTTTTGATTTCTTGTGTTCCTCATCCTCGCCGTGGATTGTGAAAGCATAGGATTTAGGTTTCAACCCGATGAATCTAGTAATGATTTTTCCAGTGACTTCATCTTTGTACATTCCTAAGACCTTCTTATTTGTTGTGTCATGGCATGGATGTTCAACAGGATAATCACTAAAATCCATATGTTGCTTGATACCTTGAAAATCCTTGTAGACATCATCAGTGAAGGTTTGAATTACATAACTGTCAGTATCTGTATATATCAATTTGATATTTTCGTTGTATTTCTTTTTCAACACACCATAGTAAAACTCATACATATGTAATTTACTCAAATCCAAAATTGTCATTCCTAAGAATATGGGTTTATCCAATTTCAGTTTCGCTTTAGTTTTCTCCACTCCTACCAGATTTTCATTTATGATAAATCTATTTTTGAAAGTAGGATTATTCACACACTTTTCATATCTAACATCATTATCTACCAATTCAAAATCCATATGTTTTCTTTTGTCTTCCATAGTTTTTCCATACACTGCGTTATTCATTAATTTAAACAAATCCTTCTCAAAGTCGCTCTTCGCTTCTTTCCTTTTACCTGTGTTGAAGTCAATCCATGGTTTCAACCAAGCCCTCTGTTGAAATTTTATTATCCTATGAACCTTGGTGAGTTTCATACCCATTTTTAGATAATACTGTAAAGTCTTGATATGAACAACATATTTTTCTTTATCTTTCAAATTTAATATTAACTTGCTGGTTTTCTCATCCTTCGGTTCTTTGTTTCCATAGTAGATTTTGTAGATTTCCTTTTGATAGTCTGAAAGCATGTTAGCATTGACATTCATTATTTCCGGTGCTAGTGGATAGTCCGAATGGTAGTCGTGTAGTGTTTCTGGATACTCCAAATCAACTTCCATAATATAACCATACTCATCTTTTTCATCCCACTTTTCAATGTTAGGTGTTTTCTTTGCCCATTTGATGTTCTTTAAAGGCAATTTTTGAGACATTGCCAGACCATACAGATTGTTAGCATCTAAGTAATTGATATAACTTGACGGTTTACTTTCATCAAAGGCTTCATCCATATACTTATTGTTTGCCTCAGCCAGTTTATGACTGACCTGACACATACCTCCTCGCATTCCCTGTTCAACCATCTCATACATTTCTTTATCATGCAACTGCTCAATTTCAACACCAGTTTTCAACAACATAGCTTCCCAAGCGAAGTTAGGAAGGGTATAATAGTGTGCGGGGTCCAAACCGTAGTATTCCATACATAAGTCTCTAAAGTTTTCAAAAACATCAGTCAATAATAAAACATCGGTTCTCAAATACAAATCATGATATTGTCCTAATGTTCTAATACCGAAGTGTTTCCAAACCTTTTGTGCCCTTTCATAATCTTTGTCATTGACGTGTTCCTCACTTAATTTACTGTAGAACGCTTCTTTTTGCGGTAAGTTTCTTTCAGTAAATCTGTCAAAACTATCAAAATAGTCATAAGGATAAATCCCCTTGTCAGTCAACAAGTCCAAATCTTCATCGGTTTTAACATATGGATTTCTAACACTGTATCTAAAATTGTTCTTCCAGTTCTCACGCCTTTTATCATCTTCATACTTACTCAACTTTACCAACTTATCCAACGAATACGATAAGAAGCTAAAACTGTCCTTGAAACAAAGGTTTTTAAAACCAAAGGTTATGAACTTCTCGCTGTTCTGTGCGATGCAATCGATTTTAGCATTCTTGCTCAGTTCGTGTGCCTTGTTGATGATTAAGTGAGCGTCATAGTTTTTAAGGTTATGAAGGAAGACTGGTATTTTATAATATCTCATACTAAAAGCAAGATTACAATCATCATGAGCACAACCTCTATATTTACCTGTAAAATGACAATGGTCTCTAACTTTTTTATCCCCTTCCTGAAAGCCCTTTCCACAAACGAAACACTTAGTAGCAGTGTCAAAATCTGTTTTATCGTCCTCAGTCATGATTATCTCTTTGACTTCCTTCATTTTCTTTATTACATCATCTCTGACTTCATTCATTTTCTCAACGAACTTATCCATACAATCTTCGCCTCTGTATAAATAGGGCTCACTGCTTCCAGTGATGGCATTGACTACATTAATCATAAAACCACAAGGGCGATGATTTTGATATGATGTGGTTGTCGCTGTTGTCGATTTGCTTTTAACATCAATGGGTACTGTTAGACATTCAAAGTCTGCATATATGACATAAGGCGCTTTCAGTTTCTTAAAATGATTCTTAAATTCAATGGTAGCTCCTACCTCTGGCATTTCTATTTGTTGTCCTTCAACCGCTAGACAACCCTGTTCTTCGTGTTGTTTTAATAACTCTTCTGACTTGAAACCGTGTGAGCATGTCCTACAATGATGTTTTTTCCTATTTGTTTTGTTGGTTTGGCTTCCCATCAGCTTGTTATAGTTCTTGATGTAGACATAGTGCGAGTTGGCATTTTCTCCAGTCAGCTTTATTAAATCAATCTTTTGTTGTGCTTGGGGGTTGTTGCTTCTTTTGTATAATAAAATTGTTTTACTATTGGCATCAGGATTGATGTAATAAACATTGACCGATATGTGCTTGTTCTGTTCTTCAAATTGTTCAATCTCATCATTACCTACAGGAAAGTTTATATTGTCCCACTTGATGAAACTATCATTAACATATTTTTTATAATGATACATATCACAGGGATGGTCTTTTTTGTATATCTCATAAAAACCACATTGAACAGAAAATTTGAAACACAACTCATCATTGTTTTTAATATTGATACAAGCCTTTTTGTTTGCCACCCAGTCGGGCAATGGAATATAAGAAGAGCCACGGGTAGGATTGTATCTGTCATAACTTATCACCAGACTTTGAACTTGAAGAAGAACAAGACCCGATTAAATGAATTCGGCTATCTCAATTTGAACCTCTATGTCGTGGGCTATGTTGTTTAAAACACTGTTTATCTCTTCTGGGTTATGGACATTGTATCTCCTGCTTCTCAGCCTTCGTCGTATCTCTTCGTTGTCAGTGTTCTTTAACGCCAAATCTACTTCAACAATGATTTTCATATTCGGGTTTCTGTTCAGGAATTCTACCATTCGTTGCTTCTGATATTTTAAGTATGATAAGCCTTTCATTCCTTTCAATCTTATATCACTAACCGAATATGTGTTGGCGTAGCCTTTGAAGGCTTGCTGTTCATCTGTGATTTTGGATTTGAAACGCTTGACATAATCCTGCAAGGGTCTTCCTCGTGTTAGTTTGATGAAGCTAGCCCCTTTCATTAGAAGACTATGTTTTCTGTAACAATCGCTTCTCGCCACTTCCTTTAGTCTGGTATTCAACACCTTCGAAGTGGGTTTGTTCTTACTGTATCTGTAGGTCTTGTCTCCTATTTTGAGTTTTTGCGTTTCACTCCCTTCTTTTTGTACTAGTTCACCTTGTTGACTTTTTATAATGAAATCTATGATTTTTTCTTCTGACACTGACACCATATATCTATACTCTATATTATATATACTAAATATTTCTTTAAGTAGTTTTGGGTAGGGGTTGCCTGTTGGAGAAACTGGGCTCCGGGTTGAAACTCAACGCATTAATCTTATTAATGAGTTTTAATAAGATTAATGAATTATCCTTTCATAAAGGGGGGTTTTTGTTTTTATTGCATACATTGCTTTTCTTGTGTTTGGATAGGTTGGTCTTGCTTGATATCGTCCTTCCGCAGTCCTCGCAGGTGTAAGGCTGTTTTAGGTTTTTGTTGTAGTAGTTCTGGTGGTAGGTCTTCTGGTCGTCCTTCCATCTCATTAGTTGGTCGTCGCTCTCGCTAACCTTCTCGTCATTCTCTGTAAGACTAAGTCGTTTTCCGCTTTCATAAGTTCAACCATTACATCAAATTCGTCATTCGTTATTCTTTGTTTTCTATTACCATTAATGAAAATTCCTGTCATTTTTACTATATTATCACGTTTTCTCTTTAAGTAGTTTTATTTTTTCTTCTTGCCTCGGCTACTTTTTGTATTTGTGCTTTCTGGGCTTCTGCTCCTACTTCTTGTTTCCATTTGTTCCCTAGTCCATTCACTACCTCGTGCTATTTCTTGGGTGAGTTGCTCCTGCTTCTTGTTTCTAATTGTCTTCTGTTCATTTGATTACCTCTTGCTCTTTCTTCTGGTGAGTGGCTTCTGCTTCTCGCTTCTACCTG